TTTGCCCCCCCCCCCCCCCCTTTTTTGCCAAATGGTATGACGGAGCTGGGGCGTAAGCATGTGGAAATTGATTTTGCGCAAGACGCTTGGCTTGACGTGCGACAACTTGCTTGGTCATGCGCATCTCGATGTAGCACTGCGGGCAACGCCTGTCTGATTTTAAATGTGTACGATGCCGGATGCGCAATGCACGGCCACGTCAGAATGGGTGGTCTATGTTGGTCTATGTTGGAGGCATTTCTGCGCACGAGTGAAAAGGAGTGTGACGGTACAAGAAGAAAGGCAGCAAGACGATGAGACAGAGCAGGGTTTGAAGGAAGTAAGCCAAAGGACTGGTCGTGCTGGTCGGTGGTCTTGAGCCGCAAAAAAGAGGGGGCTACACACGTGATCCCGCACGATCAAAGCTGACACAGCGCGGTCGAGGGCGAAGGGGAGGGGAGACCAAGAAAGCATAATGAGGGGCCGCAGGGTCACGAAACAATGTGAACTTTGACCGCCCCGGCTTGAGGATGAGAAGCGGCGGCAAACGCGGTTGGCGCTTCTTCAAGAGTGTAGTTGTGCGTGACGAGCGGTTTGGGGTTGACGATGCCGTTCTCGAGCAGCTTGATGCAGTCTTCGAAGCAGGAATTTGCGCGCATGACGAAGCGCAGATCGATCTGACGGTGGAGCATGTCTGAGAAGGGCAGATTGTCGACATTGGCGCCGATGCCCACTTCCGTCAAAACGCCTCCGAGCTCGAGCGCTTCGATGGCGACGTGCACTGGGCCGGGGAAGCCGGTGCATTCAAAGACGATGTCGGGTCGCGTGCCTGACATGCTCTCGATGATTCGCGCTGCCTCTGCCGTGGGCGTTCCCTGCGGATCTGCACGCACCACTTCGGACGGCCGAACGCCGAGCGCAGAAACCGCAAAGTCCAAGCGCGCCTGCGACGAGTCGACGAGCGTGATCGGTGTGGCGCCTGATGCCTTTGCTAGTAGATAGATCATCAACCCAATGGAGCCTGCTCCGATGATAGCGACGCTCTATCAGTCCAACCAGAACAAAGGGGCCGTTTGAGGGATAAGCAAGCGCCTTCACACGTCGCGCTCCCAACGACGCAAGGGGTGCTCGGGGGCACAGTCGTGAGTGCGTCACAATGCGGTGACTTACATGGCCAAGTTTGAGATCGGCCCGCCGCACAGAGGCGAGTGCGATGCTCATCGGTTCTATCAATGCTCCTTCCCGAAAGTCCGTGTCCGGCGAGAGTTTGTGCAGCCAGGAAGCAGGATGTGCGACATACTCGGCCAGAGTACCTTGGCGAGGCACACGCAAGATGAACGTGATGTGCCCCCCCTTTCCCCAGTCAGCGCGTTTTCGAGCGGCGCAAGAAACTTGCCGCTGCGTGGCGTCATGCGAGAGACTCACCGTGACAAGGGGCGACGCTGATGAATTTCACCTGCGGGCACAGATTATACCATCCGCTCCTGCATTGTCGACAAGTGCCGCACGCAATGCCTGGCTCGATGCAGACGCGGTCGCCCAGCTTCAAGTTGCGGACGGTTGAGCCGACGGCGACGATTTCGCCCGCACTTTCGTGCCCCAGCCGCAAAGGTGCCTGGACGTCGTGTCCACCAATGGAGCCCTTGCGCCACGATGTACAGTCGGAGCCGCAAATCTGCGATGAGTGGCCGTGTCGAAAACGAGGAGCAGTGGTACGTAGCAACAGTGGTAGCGGTGAGGCCAAGATGAAGAGTGAGCATGCGAGGCACAAAGCACGCAAATCATACCATATCACTCACACCGCTAGCACGGACGCGGACCACGCACTCGTCGGGCAACGGTTTGGGCAGCGGCGCATCGTCGACGTAGAGACGATGTGCAGGGTCGGTAAAGACGGAGCGCATGCTCGTCTTGTTTTTGTAGTGCTCCTCGCAGCTCGTCACCTTGGCTGATGGCCTCAGCGCAGCGCGGCTGGGTCTGCGCTCCATCACAACAGTGTGTCCCTTGGAGGAGCTCTTCGGAGCCGGTGTCACTGCCGGCACGGGGGGCACGGGAGGTACGGGAGGCGCGCTATCCCTGTCAATGCGCATGTGTTCCAGCGATCCCAAGGAGCGCTTGGTGTGCAGCACGTGCACACGATCTTTGCGCCCTGGCATGTGCGCCTGCTCGCCAAAGCTCGGCGGCAGCTCTTGAACGCTGGGCATTGTTGTTGGTGATGGAAGCAAGCTGCAGCACCAGAGTATGTGAGTGTGCAAATGGGGCGCGGATACAAGCGACGAGACTGATGTTGGGCAAGCTCGACACGACAGGAAAATTGGCGTGGCTGGCTCAAAATCAATGTTGACGGCGGAAAGAGTCGTGGGTGGGAGTCAGGGTCATGCGGCAGACTCGCGATGCGAAGCTACATCAGGCTTTATATGAGAAGACCGCATCCAGAAGCGCCGCAAGCGGAACACTGTCGCAGTTGATTTGACAAGGAGAGTGAGTACCACTGGCGCGTAGCAGCCAGCCGATGGACAAGAGCGACCCGAACGGCGTCCAGTCCCAGATGCAGATGCAGGAGCAGGAGCAGGAGCAGGAGCAGGAGCAGGAGCAGGATGGCGTTAACTTGCTGCATCCATGCCTCTGCCATCAAGCGGCTTTCGATGGTCGGGCCATTTCGCTGGCAGCCCCTTTCTGGGCGCAGACGAGACGCTGCGCAGCGTGCAACAGTCTGAGTGCAATCAACAAGGTGAGACGGAATTTGAATGTGAATGGTCAATGTGAATGCTCTGTGTTTTGATCCATCCAGCGCCCCCGCAAGAAAGGCCGTGCTAAGCTGGGTGAGGGCGACAGGATGACGCAATGACGAGTGCTGAATTGAGTTTGAGTGTGATCAGTGCGCAGAGGATGCATTCAAGATTATCGTACACAGCAATCACGAAGGAGTCAGAGTCCAGAGTCACGATTGAGTCACGTCGAGAGTGAAGAGTGCGCGTCATGAGCGCGGAGCTTTTTGCTGCGTGCCGTGCATCCAGCGCCTTCATTGAGCGCCGCCACACCATGCCATGACGCATATATATGCATCAGCAGCAGCGGTCCTGCAGACTTCACCTTGCATCTCGGAGCTGTCGGCGGGAGTCT